GCCCGAACCTTACACTCGAACTTCACGCCTTGCCGTCGGATTGACTTGATTGACGGCTGAGACAGACGGCAATGACATCACAGTACTGATTGAGCAAGCAGTGTCAGTCTTCACACTCCTTTCAGCCGGGAGAGGATTGCAAGTACTGAGGAACCGGAGCTGGTTGACCTGGAGGCTACGGCTGCGCAGTAGTGCGGCAAGTCTGTGAACTTGAAGCGGGCCTTTTGAACCATTCTCGCTGCAATCGCCATCAATCGCCCGTGATGTGCTACTGATGCCATGTTCAAAGACCTGTGGCTTCAGCCATGACACGAGCTACTCCCAACCCTGTCCGTTTTCACTACGTAGTCAGCGAATATTGAGATTTGTATGTGTTCAATTCGTGATTCATATTCCCTCTATATTCAAGTCACAAGCCGTCGTCAAGACATATTGTACTCCTGTCCCTGGCACAAACATCTTCTGAAACCGCACCCGTTGAAATTGCATTCAAGCCGTTTTTTCGCTGACAAAACAGATTACCGAGTCTTCTCCGAATGCAGGTAAACAGCTCTTGCCGCCAGTGTGCTGTCATGTCAGGCTGAAGAAGAGGGTGGCAAAGAGGCGCACAAACAAGTGATATGATTGATTTCCACATGATGAGTGTCGTGGATTCAGCTACAGGTGGTTTCTGTGCTGATGAAATTCTAGATTCTAGATTTGCAGAGAAAGCAATAGCAAACCCCGTAGAACGACAGTGATGACGAAGCATGCCGCATTTGGCATCTCCTTCTGTGTGCCTTTCCTTGGTGCCCAAGATGCTGCACACCCCAATGCCCTCCAAAAACTATCAAAACCTCCATTGGCTTAGAAGGAGAAGGACAAGGACGACGAGCAATCCGAGGTGGGGGCTCCCGAGAAATCGCCGGGCCTGGGTTTTGTCTATTGGCCCTTGTTGTCAGAAGCTAGCTTGAGCAGACAGCTTTATGGAGCCCTCATCTAGAGGAATTTGCCGGTGCAAGTACCTTCAGGCCAGACAAAAACATTGCTGACCTGGGTCCTTGCAGGAGAAGAATCGTTCTCCCGAGCGCCGAAAGTCAGCAGCTCAGAATTCAACCTTCGCCGCTAGTAATTCGCAGTGTAACATCAGTATCCACAGCCCCCAACGACGTGCGAAGTACCCCTTCTAGAACTCTGGAGACAGATTTTGTGGATTCCCCGGGCTGACCTGCAAGGTCCGCGAGCCGCAGCCGGCAAGCAAACCGCGATCGCAGCCGCGGTGGTGAGCGAGATCGAAGCCGGGAAAACAACCGCGATCGCAGTCGTGGTGGTGAGCGAGATCGAAGCCGGGAAAACAAAAAGGAGGCAGGCTAAGCATGTTGGGCGGGTCTCTTGTTGCCGGCACTCGGGTAGCATCAGGAAGCTGCTATTGTCGTGTCGCTGCAACTTTGCCGGTTATGTCAGCGTTTGCATGTTCGATGTCAATCTCTTTGACGCATGTGGACATGTGGGTACATCCTGAAGTATGTTTAGAGGCTTCGGGCAAGTTGGTTTGCCACTGTAGGCAGTTGTCAGGTAGCTCGGTCGAGGGAGCCGCGGCGGCGGCATGGCACCCAGAGAGAGGCTCACTTTCTGACGTGACAAAATCCGATCAGGGCACAAATCCAGTCCTGACATTTCTTGACATACCAAGTTCGGCGAGCCGCGAGGCCAAACGCGACCGCAGTCCGCAGGAGGTGTCCTACCACTTGGGCTAAGCACGAATGAAGTTAAGTTGCCAGACGCACAAAAGCACTGAGAGGAAGCCACCGAGAATGGTTCATGTTCTCAAAGTGATTGGCTGCAGGACAACCGCGACAGGGATGCTCGCAGGCGGCCAGAAATCTGAGCTTTTGAAACTTTGTGGCTGTGGTGTCACTGTCGATGGTGGCTTGGACATGAAACATGTGTTGTTTGGCCCGCCTGTGCTGAGGTCCCCGCGAAGCCGCGAGAAAAAAGCAGCCTGGTGAGCAGAGGATGTTGCAGCATGCTGGCTAGAATCGGCTAGAGACAAGTGAGCAGCCGGAGAGTGTCGATGTCTTTGTTTGCCAGAAGCGCATCGTCTTTCCTATATAAATGTTCTTTGCCGGTCGAGAATGGTTGAGCACGCCGAGGCCGAGCGTTCGCGCGAGCGCTCGCGCGAGCGCTCTCGCGAGCGTTCACGGGAGCCTCGCCGGCGGCGCGGAGCTCGGGGAGTGCAAGGGCCTGGAAGCACTGGCCTGGCTGGCTTTGGGACTTGCTGTTAAGCCTTTGTTGATGACACTAAGTTCTTCGCACAGCCGCGATGCCAAGCGCGATCGTAGCCAGAAGGCCGGCATTTCCGACTGCGGCAAAGGGTTGGTGCATCTGGTGCCAAGCGCAGACACCAGAACATAACCAGCCAGAACCGTTTAGGATATTCGATTGCTTTTGCCGCAAAAATGTTTTCGGATCTAGTTGGGCCTGCCGCTTTTGCACCTCTTTCTATCTCTCTTCATCACAAACCTTCTCTTCGTTCACCAGGCCTTGGGGCAGAGCAGCAGCGCAGCACGGAGCATCACAGAGCTTTACCTTATGTTGTTGAGCCCGCCGACACCATCCGACACAAGGGACATGGCACGAGAACCTCGATGTTCACCTGTCTTTTGATGTGCTTGCGCTGTTGTTGAATGCACGAAATCCTCGTTGTTCGACTACGGCTAGGCATCGGGTTCCCACTCCTGTCACACGCGTCTCCTCATCTGTCGCTTCCGATGCTCCTCCCCTTTTCCAAGCCTCGAGTGTTTCTTCCTGACGTTGTGGGCATTCTCTTCGCCTCTATGAGGAAAGTACACACTTACTAAGAAGATGCCTGCAAACGATGCACATTCACAGTGACAGCATCCGGCCACACCTGTCCTTAGACTTCCAGGACCGTTCCAGGGAACCGCGTCGACAGTCGCGCCGACGGCGCGGCGCCCGTCCTTTTGCATAGACCGTGCAGAGTGACGCTCGTCTTAGTAGTTTCAGCATGTTCTGGAACTGGTACCTTTACCTTAGCAACACTGAATCCAGCTTCCATCACCGGAAGTCTTTTCTGCACTGCACAGATCGTCGCACAGCCGCGACGGAAAGCGTGAACGTAGCCGACAGGCCTGGGTCTGAGCTGCCACACTTTTGCACCAGGAGCTTCAACATGATCCAATGCCCTGCCAGGCAGATCGGTCCCGAGAGCCTCGGCGAAGGCACGTGGCAGCTGAAACCTTGTAATCCCTGCTCCACAACCCGGAATCTCCGAGCACCGAGCCAACACCCTAAAGCCATGAATCCAAAATCCTAAACCCCGAAATCACTCAAGCATGCAGCCCTTGCAGTCAAGCCTTGATTCTTGACTCAGATCTTCTGCTAGCCGCGATGCCAAGCGCGATCGAAGCCGAGAGGACGATGGCCAAGCGTTGTAATCGAAGGGTGATCCATGGACAGCTTACGGCTGACTCCCTAGGCATTCAATTCTGAATACAACGCGAAAGGGCACAGAGTCTGCCGCGGCTGATCGATCAACCCTGTGTGTAGCTTGAATGGATTGTCCAGAAATTAATCAGTTGCTTGGTTCCTGTGCAGAGCCAGGACGGCCGCGACAGGCATGACAGGTGGGACACCGGTGTCACTGGTGTAGCATCCCTCAGTTCTCGCCGCATAATAACTATAACGATTCAGGCGAGCGGATACATTGCTACTTGCGCACACGCACACACGCATTAGGTGGAGGCTGGCCTAGCTAGCCAGCGAGCTGGATGGCAAGATAGCTAGATCGCTAGATAGCTTAGATGGCTAGACAGCTAGATCGTGAGATAGAAATATAGATTAATGGGTAGATAGTACGCAGGCAATAGATGGACGGAGTGAGAGAGGGAGGCATTGATGCGTTTATGAAGGGATGGATGGACGGATGAGCGGATGGAGGGATGGATGGATGCATGGGTGGATGGATGCATGGATGGGTCGACGGTCGGTCGATCGGCATGCATGCATGCATGCTTGCACCCGTACCATGTGCGGGTATGTTCAGCATAGGTTTATTATAAGCATCAGGCTTCAAACTGTCCACGTTTGGAGGCCAACATCAAGACCAACTGGTCGAAGCTTTTCCCAATCACATGTCAGCTCGTGTCAGGTCGCGGTCCCGTGGCTACAGAAGGCTCGTGGTTCCCCACGGCTTGCAACAGCGGTTCCACGACTTTAGGCGAATCAGTTAGGCTGCAGTCTCGATCTACTCTGTAGAATCAAAAGGGGCAGGCTGATTTCTCTATGGTTGAAGCCGACGCAGGCGGAGCCGAAGCCGGGAGATGGGACGAGGCAAGGTCTGTCCTAGGCACTCAGTCTCGAAGACTTGACAAGGCGACCGAGGCTTCGTTCGGCCGCTCAAGTCTTCGGGTGGCAAACCGGTGCTTAATAGACGCAGCTGAGAGTATGGTGAACGACGGCAGGCTCAAACGCTTCCACTGTAACTTTTGTCTTTTGTGTTTCAACATGATATGAAACTTAGTTGCAGAAGGCACAGCGGCACCGCACTTTCCCAAAGCAGATGCTGACCCACCCTTGGACTGTCAAGTTTGGATGTTCCCCAGGCGGCAAAGGTGGAGGCAAGAGCGAAAGCCTCAGCAACAGAAGCCGCGGCTACGATTCAAATTCAAGCATGCCTGAAGGGCCATGCGTCTTCAGCTTAGCTCTGATTGTTTGATAGCAGCGAGTGGGTCTTCTGTAATATGCAGCAACAAAAGCGGGCTCTGTTTTGAGAGCAGCATGCTTGTTGTGCCATGTTGTGCAGCCTTCACATGTTGTGAAGGAGCTTCAACTACAAGGAGTGTTCCAGCTAATTTGTCTTTCTCTTTCTCAGGCATTCCGAACCTTTGCTTCCTCTATGCATCTTGGTGGCATCATCTGAGATGCCTGCAAGAGTGTTTTGGAGGTACAGTAGCTTCCTTTGGAGACTTCACAAAGTCACCCCCGTCACCGGAACCGAGGTTATTGACAAGTGCCGCAAAGGCACGCGGTTTCCATACGCTTGCAGGGATTCAATAGAGCTGGTGATGTCTGACGCATGCAACTATTGCACTGCATGGGAGGCTGCGCAGATTCACTTCCGCACTGTCCATGGATGTAGAGAACTTTTGCAGGTGACCGATGTGAAGCGAGACACCCCGACGACCGCGAGTGCCGGATGCTTCGAGATAGGCCAGCAGCACAACAGCCTCTCACAAGCTCATGCTTCGGCTGGACTGCTACCCTCTTGTCCCACCCGCCCCCCCCCCCCCAAGCGTGGAGCCTGGCAGTTGGAGCAATACATCCCTGCTGACGGGCAGGATGGAAAACACCCCGTGCAAGTTCGGCGCGGACTGCACTCGCAAGGACAGCTTTGTTTAAGGCATCTGCTGCGGTGCAATGACTTTGCCATTGGCCAACTGTCAGAGCTCGGCGACTCCGAGTGTAGCCTGGTGGTCTGGTTTTGATGTTGTGAGGACTGCGTCTTTAAGCATCCTGAGGGCTACAGGAAGGCAGGGATCACAAGTGTTGGTGTTGACCTGGACTGGACTGCCGACACCTGCGCAGCCTGGCGGCGGTGGCGACCGCGACCGTGACCGCGACGAAAAAAAGCGAGGCACGTCAGGGCGCAGCGCAACCCAGCGTGCTGTCTGCCACATGCGCTGTTGCAGCCGATGACGATCGGCTGCACTCGGTCAGTCTTGACGTGTTTTCGAGGCCGAAGCAGCAGCTAGGCGGCGAGAAGCGACGATGCAGGCAGGAGAAGGATTACAGTCTGGTCTTGCAGTGTTGCGGGGAGTGGCGGGGCCCGGGGCAGGGCATTTCGGGCTTTTGGCTTTTGGGCAGCACCCTCCCATCGAAGCACACTGCAGCCAATTGGCATTTGCAGAACGGGCTCGAAGGACCCACCCAGCCAAACAGATGAACTCGTAGCTGAAGGATTCGACTGAGCCCCTGTCTGAGAGTTCACCTGTAGCAAAACCTTTCGTGGGTCAGGGTTCACAGAGTACTATGGAGATGTTTGCCCAGCCATTGAGGTGGCTTTTGATGGACTTGCCATAAGTCTTATGCCACTTATGCCATAAGTTTGATTCTTGTGGTTCGTTTTGAGAGCAACATCCTACCGTGATGCATGTCGACAGCATGGCCTTCAGCACGGTCCTTCTTGTTTGCGGCTTCTCTTGAAGTCAGCCTGCTGTAGCTTCCCAGAGTGTTTGCGGAGTGTCTTTCATCCACACGCATTCGGATGTCAGCAAGCCTTTTTCGATGCTCGCCGGCAATGTCTGCATCGCATCATGTCTACGTATTGTTGAATCTCAAACCGCAGGTGCAGAGAGGGCTCCTCTGTGGATCTCCAGAGATCTGAGTGTGAGGGGCCACCTACCTGTTTCAATGCTGTGTTGAGCGCAGGTTCCTGCTGGTAGAAAGTTTCGCCGATAACAGCCGACTCCTTACACGCACAGCTCCAGTGGAAACAGCTCGGACAAAAAATCTGAGCGAAGCAAGCGCCCCGTTGCTGCCTTCAGAGCCGCGTGGGAGCGCTGCTTTGTGTCAAGCCGTGGCCGCAAGTACGCACGAATATTCAACTCTCTGTGATGCCGGACACTGCTGTGGAGCCCAAATATGTGTGCACTCTGGGACACTCGAACATCGCAGGCGATTTTTTTCGGGATGAGAAGATTCGAGGCACCGCTTTGCTATGTAGGAGATAGAGCCACAGAGACTACAGTGACTACAGGAGTGTCCCAGCATGCACAGAGGCATATACAACTCAGTTGAGAGTGAATGCTTCTGAGTCTGCTGTGCGAGCCCGGAGCAAAACAGAGTTTCAGTCCAACATCTGGCGAATTCCTGACTGTGGTTCTGCATAAGCTTTTACCAGTGCTTTGGGGCCGACTTGGGTCACAAGGGGCAGAGCTGCATTGAGGCTGTCTTGTGAAGAAGAGTCCGATTGCATCCGCACCTGCTGCCAAGGCACCTGTTTCAAAGCTTCAAGTGTGCTTAGCAAGATGCAACAAGGATGGAGCTCGATCCTTCAAGCTCTCACTCAGTTTGACTAACATTTAGGGCAGTCCAGCAGACTGACACAAAAGCAACATCGCATCATTCACCTCACAGACTCAGAGACGTAAACATGTTGCGGAGCCAGGTGGCAGAAGCCTGTCAGTATCGGTTTGAAAGGTTCTGCGCTCACCTGCAAAGCCTCAGCCAGGGCGCTGCCATGTTCCAGTTTCAGACATCTCCTCATGCAGCAGCGCATGCTGCAGCTTCAGCTGCCGCCTGGATGATGTAGACGATCGTTGGCGGGTCGGGGTCTCCAACTGCCGGTACCCAAAACCTTTGTCCGAGGGAACCATGACTTGGTTGCGGAGTTCTGACACCCCTCTCAAGCAAATCCTTTATGGATTCGTTTCCGTGCTGCCCAGCAGTGCGAAAGTACCCGGGCTCCCAACAACAGCCGCACCTGCCTCTTGCTCAGCAAACCTTCGAAGGTTCGGCACAGCCCTCCTGTGCCTCCCCCCGGTCGTGGTGCATCTTGGACTCAATGTTTCAGACGCCATGTGCAATCACAGCATCGGCGACCTGCTGGCCTTCCGGGTTTAGCTTGGAAAGACCTTCGAAACATCCGACATCATCCGACATGAGTACAGCATTCAGAACGGCTTCTCAAGACTGCTTCAGAACTCGTAAGTGACGTTGGGAGATTCGCGCACCCAGGTCGTCGCGTCACTGCCTGCCGTTCGCCTTGGCGAAGCGTCGCCGCCTGCCTCTGCCCGGCCACAGGGCAGCAGGTCGAGAAGATGGTGGCAAAAGTCTTTATGCTTTTGACGAACTGAGTTCGGGTGAAGGTGCAGGGATCCGGTCTCAGTCTGGATCTGAAGCTTCAGCAGCGGTACTGTTATTGTTGCACGAGTTTCGTGTCAGCAGATTTCTCGTGCACATGCACAAAGGACAAAGGTCATTTCCTGCGCACCCGCTGCCCAATCTGAGGCTGTTGACGACAACACCTCCACCAACCTCTGCGCGCAGTTCCTGGCATGCATGCAGAGCAAGGCGTGCAGAAACTCGAGCGTCCATAGGAACTCGGTTGTGCTTGATTCGCACATGCTGTGCAGCAAGGTTTCAATGTCCGCAGCGTGCCCTCCGGCTTGCATCTTGCACCTCGACTTCGATGTGCCGCACAAGAAGCGGCGTGGCGAGAGGTACTCGTATAGTCGTATAGCGCCAACTGCACATTTCGACAGGCCCAGCCTGCTTGGCAGCACACGCACTCGGAGCCGGCGAACTCAGCCGGCTTCGATATGCGGGCGCTGCGGCCTGCAACACTGCCTTCGCCGCCTGTGCTGCAGCGGGCCACCGGCCAAGTCGCTGTTGCCTCTTGGCTGCGCTTGACAGTGCAGCTTAGACATGGCTTCAAAGTAGCAGACTTGAGTTTCTCCATCGTGCGCAGGTCATCGCTCCGACGGAGCGCACAGTCGCCCGAACCGGAGTGAGCGGTGTGAGCCAGCCAGCAGGGCGTCCGAAGGCTCTGCAAGCCTTGAATGTCTCGCGGCCTCACACCATTCATGCGGGCAGCTGTCAACAAAAGCGTTAGCACTATGAGCTTGCAGGATGCAGAAGCAGCCGCCGTTGTGGAGAGGATTGTGGTAACTCGGAAGCGCTTTTTGCTGGATGTTATCCTGACATATGAAGCGCATTGGTGTTAGTGCTTGCTTCGCCGGCATGAACCTTCCGAAATTCCGCTACAGACGACCTCAAAGAAATTAGAGTCGCCATGTCAGCTGGAGATTGAGCATCTTCGACGAACGAAGAACCTGTGCGAGATGACCCGCAAACCTCCGATCTTGGAAGTTCCTGATCCTGCGAGGTGCAGACCCCGACCACATGTGCGCAAGACGGTTCGCCGGGCTCGAAGGCTGCAACAGCAGAGCTTCATGGGCTGGCAACAAGTGTGCCCGATTGGATCGAGTGCCAGCTTCCGCAGCTGAGAAGCTCTTAGCTCAGAGAGTGCAGGGAGCTTGGGCATCGACAGGTGTCAGCAGCCCCCCGGTCGCCAAGTTCATCGCCGCAGGCATCAACCAGAGCTTGCGGCCCAAGTTACAGTTGCTAGGAGGTGTGAGGGCCGTAGGCGCACCAGGGGGTATCCTGTATCCTCGTTTCGACTTTGAGGCCGTGGCTCCAGGGTCACCCACCTCACAGCTGGGCAGGGCTCGGGGCTTGGCTCAAGGCTTGGCTCATCGGTGTCCCCTGGACAACGAAGATGGCTTCAATGACACTGACACGCCCGTGGCGTCCGTTCATGGCCGTCAGAGCAGGGCGGTTGGAAGATCTGAGGCAATTCTCGCACCGCCCTCGCCCAGAGTTACTGAGTGTGTCGGGAGCTCAGCTGCACACCCTGCGAAATGCAAGACGCATGCCTCCAAGCCTTAGCCAGAGCAGCCGAAGCACGACGAGAACCTGCCTTCAGGAGCTGGAGCTACGCCTGTCCCAGGTGGCGGCTGCGCTCCTCCCGCTCGGGTCCAAGGAATTTTAAGCATTCTAAGGAACCTTGGAGCATAAGGGAGAGGAGCCCAGTCATGCAGCAGTCGCGGGCTGCTGAGCGGTTGTTGAGAGTTGCTGCGAGATCGGGTCGATGCGAGTCAAATTCCAATTTCGAATCTTTGGAACCTGACCTGACAAAAGGCCCGTTGCTCAAGTCGGCATCGGCGATCGGACTGGCGGTGCAGGTGGTCTGTTGCCGTAGGAACATCACCATGCCTAGTTAGATAAGCACATGAACGGAGGCCGGCCTGCGTTCAAAAAGACCTGGACGAAACGGCGTGTCACCATAGTCTTGCATTCGAGCTCCTTGTAAGATTTGTAAGCTCTGTTAAGTTTGTAAGTCATTGGAATTCCTATTTCTGCAAGGGCGTGTATCTTTGTGAGTTTCTGTGGCGACCAGAGGGCGCACCACGGTGGAACTGCCAGTCCAGCCAGGGGCGACTGAAGAGTTGGCACCAGCACCAGAAGAAGCCGGTGCCCCAGGAGTACTGGTGGCAATCCATGGGCGTTGGCATAGGTGGGAACCTGGACCCACGCGGCACAAGCATGACATCAATCAACCATTGGGAGCTTGCAAGAACGCCCTCGGCGACGGGTATTTTTCTGTGCTCGGCACATCGAGGTCCCTCCCTGGAAACCCTGCCAATCCACTTCGCACCGGGCTCAGCCTTGCGTAACTAATGTAGAGGACTTGATTCTGACAGTACGACTTCCCGGGTACCTGGCATGCCCATCCCAGGTCCATAGCGATTGATGTGACCACGAGCGGTCAGGCCGGAAGCCAGTCGATTGAGTCGGGGGACACCGTAGGATTGACTTGGAAGCTTCCGCAGAGAGATGCACTTATAATTGATGTGACAGGAAATTGGATGGACCCCGTCGGCAACTTGGAAGGACTGCCTCGGGCCGGCTAGGATGGAACTTTTCTGCATCAGCCGAGAATAGCCACGAGGCCACGGAGAGTAGGTTCAAGCAGGCGAAGGTTGTGCCACGTTGCGCTTGAGCCTGTTTTAAGGTCGTTTACGACCTTGGCACACCTGAGGCCAGATTGCAGCACTGGTGGCAGCAACATGCCCAAATCGCTTTCAGCTAGATGTGTAAAGGGCAGCTCGTAAGAAGCGACGATTTGTCTCAGCTGCATGCCCCGCTTGTGACTGCGCAGTAGCATGACAACCTGAAGAACACGTCCCAGGTTCCATTTCATCGAATTTCCACGGCCACCGATTTTTGAGCATGTTTAAAGCTTTTTGGCGAACTCCCGGATGCCTTCGCGCCTGGTAGGCCCGAGGATGCCGATCTCCCAGCTCCAACGAGTCCAGAGGCCCAGAAACTTCTGAGTTGGCTGCAACTCGATTGGTATACGCTTTCAGCATGCACGTTGAGTGATCCGTGGTTGTCTGTCAGCCGGTGTTGTGACGCAGACTTCGGCTTTTATCCTCCATTGTAATCCATTGTAGGCTCTTGCAGTAGAAGTGACAGAGACTCTCGCAAACGCTCAAAACGGTCTGGGCAATTTGATGTAGTTTGAGGTTCCACGGCTCTGCTTGCGCTGAGCATCATACTGCTTTTCCTTCGTTTCGGCTCAGGGTTGTTGGGTTTTGGATGTGGTTCGCGGCGCACAGCAGTATCCTTGTCAGGTCCAAGAGTCCAAGGCTTCGACTATTGGAATTCTCAACCTATCGCAGCAGGGAGTTGGCAGGAGCAGTGTTTTTTTAGTATAACATAGAGGTGACTTCAAGCATGGTACCATCGCAGCATGACCTGCTTTTGCCCAGAGGCTCCGCGGCAGCAATGGTTTAGGAATGAGTTCCGAGTTGGACTTTGTGCACTCGCTTTTCTTGCATTCGCGCTTGGGCTTCGCAATCGCCATTTGAGTTACAGGCAAGTGTTTGGTAGTTGTGCTTCGTGCGGCTTGATGCTGATCTTGCATAGACCCAAGGCAATGTCTGGTGAAACCACCGTGGATGCGTGGACCGTTGAAGCTTGGCTTAATGCTTCAACTCGGCCTTGAGCCTGTTGGCATTTCGGAGCTTACAGCAGGGTACCCGCATTTAGTTGCTTCATGTACTTGAGCAATGGACTCTCTATCTGAGGCTGGCTTCAAGGCCCGTGAACTGGCAGGCCCGGGTGATTTGACACGAGCATAGACGCAGAGAAATCCTTCGATTTCCCTTGCCATAGCTTTGAGACCGGCCAACCGACAGCTGCTCCCTGGCCACCACAAGTGACGGCTGCTCGCCGGTCACGGTGCCGGAGGCGGGCTGCAAAGTCGTTTCGGAGGGGGGCGCTGCTCTGAGAAAGTGACATGCCATTAGTCCCTGTAGGTGCAGGCAGCAGGGTACCAATATCGCAGGCCGGCTACACGGTTTTGGCTCTCTGCAGACGAATTGTGTCGACGTTTGAACATGAAGCACTGCAGGAAGGGCAGGAATCCGTGGCTTACTTAAGCTTGTTTGTCACTGGCCGGAAAACCGGATGTTGCTTACTTCCGAGACGTTGTCACAATATCTGTTTCTACGACAAGGGCGAAGCTGGCATCCGGTCCGTCCCCATTTACCGGCAATGTTATGCAACGGATATAATGTATGTGGGTGTTGATCTAAAGCCC